GACTCCATCCATGTGGCATTTCCTACCTTTCACACGAACGGTTCCTTTTTTTATCCCTTGCTGGAATGGGAGTTGTTATTTGGGGATTTTGGGACACAACCCTCTCCCTTCAGTCTGCTGTTTAGATGAGGAGAAACGGGCCTTCTTTGGCTCACAGTCCCAGGCACAGATGGTGCGTTTGAGAGTGTTTGGAGTGGCAAAGAGGACTAAATTTGTGTCGGAATGTGGTCTCCATGCTGACCTCTCCATATCTGCAGTGGACGGCAGTGTGTCCAGTAGCATGCAGAGCCGGGCTCTGAGGGAGGTTAAGGCTAAAAAAAACCTGGGTTTTGTTACAACAAAGCTTCAAATGAACTGTCCCGGAGAACCTTCTGTGGAAATCTCATTCTTAAAAGCTGTTGTTTGTGGGAGAACAAGTCAAGTCTGGGCCTGTTTTTATGTTAAAAGTTGTCGTTTTTTGGTAGAAATAGATAGATAATGGAAACATGGACACAAACACACACACAGGGGACACGGGAGACAATGAGAAAAAAAAAATATTAAATGAGATGTGTCAGCATACAGGAGAGAGGAGCATTCAGAGAAGAAAGATCAGATCATTGTACATCTCCTCTTATATCACACTGTGTGTGTGTGTGTGTGTGTGAGTGTGTGTGACAGAGCATCTGGCATCACAAAAGGCTTTTCTGTCAGCATCCTTTTCGTCTCTGGCTCCCCTGGCCCTGGTGTTTCTGTCTGTGGTGTAGTTTCTGTTACTGTTACTGTTTGGTCGCCTCTTTTGTTGCGGTAATTGTTAATAAACCTACTCCAACTGTTGATATCCACTCCAAAAAAGTAGCTCTAACCCGGCCAGGGAGCCCACGCAGCACATAAATGAACTTTTCCTCCTGAAAATTTTCCTCCTGATGCTTTTTACGGCAACAAACATTTTTATTTTCTCAAATACGGCTTCAGCTAACCGGCTTAAAAGATGGAAATCCAGCAGAAAATTAGACATGCAACCTAATGGATTTTGGATTTATGATGCACTCCTCAAGGAAATCAACAGAGGGGATAACTTTAAGTCAATTATGAACCTCTATTGATATATAATTTAAATAACATTATTATGATATGTATTAAATTGAGAAGCAATCACTGAAATTTGAAATTGAGTAATTATTTGTTGATATTTGAATGAAAACCCTACATGCAATGTGTCTGAAAATGTTCCTTCACCCATTCATGAGCTGGCCGCCTTGCGTGTGTGTGTGTGTGTGTGTGTGTGTGCGTGTGTGTGTGCACCACAGGGTAATGACGGTGCCTTCCTCCTTGCTAATGACCATGTTGAATTATGGGGCCATTTACTCTGAACTGCACATGAATCCCTCCCTGCTAAGAACAGAGTGTCTGCTTGTGCGTGCGTGTGTGTGTATCTGTCTGTGTGTGTGTCTGTGTGTGTGTTTGTAGACGCCACATATAGCCGGTTGTCATGTGACTTTGTCCTTTTACGAAACAGACTCGTGGAGTCATTTGCATATACGCTTGCACTTTGTAATAATGCAGTAATAATCGCGGGATTACGTCCGGATTAAACCTGGACACTGAACGCTGGCCTTTATTTGCCCTTAATGTCTCCCTCTGTACCTCCTGTTCCACGTAGAAGACTTATAGTGGAATATTGATAGGATGTAGGGAGAGAGGTAATAAATAATGCTGACAGGTTGAATTAAATAGCCCCTCCCATGAATAAAAGACAGTTAGCATGGATGAACACACCTCCCAATATGAATAAAAGTCACAATCTCATCATGAATAAAGGTAATTAAGAAAAATGCTCAAAGCCTTGGGTGTTTGGATAATTATTTCTGATCAAATCTGAAGCGTAAACTGTAGTAAAAAGACAAGGCGTGTGCCTCATAAAAAAAAATTCGAGAGATTTTAGCGTTAGGAAAACACTTTCTTACATGTCCCGCTTCAAAATGAGCCCACAGGAGAGATGGAGGAGTCTCGCACGGGGCCGAACAACAAGTGCTCCGCTGTAAATATTCATTTGCTCCAGCGATAGACTTTGATGATTGCGAAATGGCTGCCTGTCTTTGACTAACTGGCTCTGAGCCTTTAATGAGGACCTCAGACGCCGGCCATTTCCAGGCACGGCGGCTAATTCCCGCCCGGGCAGAGCTCCGTCGCCCCTCCTGCCCCCCCGCCTCTTCCTCTGGATTCAACCGGAGAAGAACCCGGCTGGATTTTTATCTGCATTGCAGTGAGATTCAACCTGGAGCTCCATGGTGAATGCATTAAAGTGAAAAGACACCAAGCTATTGTGTCTATATCAAATTTAGGATTGGTCTTCTTTTTCGTTGTTCACATCAATAGTCAACAGTTATATACTTTCTAAACATGAATCCATTTTTTTAAAGCTATTTTTTTAGACTTAATGGAATCATATCAGTCAAACCTTGTCCAAGTCTTCTTGGTGAGCAGCTGTTAATTTAAGTGGCCATCCTCTCTAGAAGGCAATGCTTAACAAACCGAGCCGTTGAAGAGAACTTCAGAGGATTGTCGGATGAAAAAAGTCGAAACAAAAGCAGAGCAAAAAAAAACAGAGACGGGAGTTAATGAGAGAGGGCTCCGAAGAGCCGAAGCAAATAAGCCATCTGAGAGCGCCGGGCAGGATGAGAGTAACACAAATCACACGTTTTAATGAAAAAACGTAATTATCTGCCACAGGAAAGCGATGCCTGAAAAAAAGATGCAGCTATAGACAACAGAAGAAAAGAGACCGCACTCATGGAGTGAAGTCTGAGGGAGAAACAGTGCAGACGTCATCCAGAATTATCCTCCAAACACACTTCTGCTTCCCCTCTCTCTCTGTTACCTCTGTTCTAACGCGGGTGCTTTTGGGTTTTTCAGAACATGGTGTCAAGTTAGAAAATAGAATATTATTTAACAGGCAAACAGAACTATACAAGTAACAGGAAATAAGCAGGAATTCCAAATAGAGTGCACGGAAATGTTAGTCTAACTAAAATTTGGTCTCGCTGCTATGGAATCGTGTGAAAAACCCAGATGGTTTCCACCATTTGCGACACATGATGGAAGGTGAATTTATTCCCATCCATCCATCCATTATCGTTACCGCTTATTCCCTAACGGGGTCTCGGGGAGCCATAAACATAGACTTTACCTATATCCTTTTCTTTCTTTGTGAATTTTGAAGATGGACGTTTCTTGTTTCTGGTTTGATGATCATTATTGTGGCTCAAAAGCGTTCTTTATTTGTTTGCTACCCTGAAAGACAACACATTCCAGTGGAACTTTCTCACTTCCTGCCTGGCTTTAGGCAAAAGCATCACTTATTTAGGGCTAGAACAAAATATACTGATGATGATGATGATGATGATGATGATGATGATGATGATGATTCTACGCAATAATCCCCCGGGGGCCCTTTCAACTAGTGTTCATCCCCCTTATGTAATACGTTTGAGATAAAAAAAAGATTAAACTAAGTGCTGAACTATGTGGTTTACGAGTCTCTAGGATGGCATTTACAGTTCAATAGAGGATGTATATGGACACAGTTTGCAAAAACATGAAGGCTATTCAACACATGTGAAAAATGGATTAAGATACTCTTGCATACACATGGTAACATCCACCCATCCACCACATCACTACACAATCCACACTTAGTGCCCACACCAATAAGCTCGGCTGGAAATATGTTCAATAACTAAAGAATGATCATAAGTGCAAGTAGGACGCTTTTACTTTCAGGCTGCTATCTAAATCAATCAGTAAACAGATTTTCCATCAGGCATTTGCCCAATAGCTCCTCTGGTCGCAGACATGCTCAGCATTGGATTTCCATTGGGTCTGTTGACCTGGTGTCTGGAGTCCTTACTACCTCTCTTCCTCTTCCTCAGCCATCTCATTGTTTTTGGTCGGTAAGACTTGATTGTTCCCGCACATCACACCAGAAGGAAATGGACTCCTAGACAACCTGATAGTTGATCAAGCCACATGCCTGAATCATTAGAGTGTGTCTGGAACTGATATGACCCTTGAGTTGGACTGGAAGTCTGAGATACATAGACTTTGGGACTATATAGAATCTTAGGATAGAATTTACGTACCGGAAGGTAAGAAAGAATATACCGCTCGCTTTAATGATGCCACATGGTTGATATAGTGTCTTGATAAGGTGTTTCATTTTGAACTTGGACATTGACAAATATCTTGTAAGATCTTTAATCCAGTCCTTTTGTAATTTTTCTGCCACTTCTCTTAAGAAATAATCAGCCTTTACTTGGAACAGCCTGAAATTGTCATTAAGGTGGATCTTGGAGGGAGGACTCAGTCGGGGAGATATGGAAACAAGGGTTTATTTGAACAAAAACACACTCAAATGGAGTGGATGCAGGCAAAGTTCAAAACAAGGCTGAGAGAAAACTATGGACAAAGTAACAAATAAAGATTAACACAACTGTGGCAAGGCTGTGGCAAAACTATGAACAAAGTATCAAATCAAGATTAAACATGACTGTGAAAAAACATGGCTATGACAAAAAAAACGTGGCTATGGCAAAGTACAAACAAGATTAACAAAACTGTGGTAAAACATGGCTATGACAAAAACGTGGCTATGGTACAAAACAAGACTATGGCATGGCTATGACAAAAAATCTAACCTGACGTGGCGAGGGGTGACGAAAAATTATGAAAACGCGCTGGCACAGGACATGGGAAACGAGGAATATTTAAACACATGAGGGAGGGGAACCCCAGATGTACACAATAGGTAATCAAGACGTGACGAGATACCAGACATTACCCCAGACGTGACAAATTATGCCACATGGTTGATATAGTGTCTTGATAAGGTGTGTCATTTTGAACTTGGACATTGACAAATACCTCTTATGATCTTTACTTCAGTCCTTTTGTAATTTTCTGCCACTTCTCCTAAGAAATAATCAACCTTTACTTGGAACAACCTGAAATTAGCTGTAAAAATGAAGCATGCAGTGCACGCTTTGGCACAAAGGAACGCCGAGGTCACCCCGGGTAACTCTGAGGCCAGAGAAGTGGACAAGGCCACCGTGAGGCACAAGGTTTCTCCACAGTTAAGTCTGAAGTGGCCTTATTGATTGTGAGTCTTTATTGTAGTGCTGAGAAAGGTTATCCATGTGGTTCTACCAGCTACCGATGAAAGATGCTTTTTGATGCGGTGCAAAGCTGCACAGGGTTTTGCTCCCTTCTTCCTCACGTAATGTCAAATCTTAATTAAATCGAATTAAAAACTGCTTATTTGATTTTCTACCATCGCTGCTCCTGAAGGTAGTTTGCATATATGAAGACTCCATCTGTTCTAGTAGAACCAATGCCAATAGTACAACCTTTCTTGCAATTGAAATGACCACTTATCATAAAATCAAACCGCACAAGCCGACAACTGAACTTCCTGACAGCAACACACAAAGAGGAAATGATGTCATTTGCATAAATTTGGCAATTTGAGCAAATGCTGATCAAAAGACAAAGACAAATTAAAAATGCAATGTATTTATTTATCAATAGAGGGAAGACAGGAGTGGACGGTAAGTGGGAGATAAAGAGGGGTCAAGTACAACAGAACAAAAGGAGTAAAGAAAGGGGAGATAAAAATAAGACACAATGAGAGCATTAGTGATGCATGAAAGAGATGTTTAGGTGGTGGGAGGAGTGGTGACGCAAAAAAGGGAAAATGGGACTGGAAAAAGAGCGGCAAATGACAGCAATCCTCTTTTTAATGAGGGGTGGTAGAAAAAGATAAATGCCCGAGGAAACTTTGAGTAACTTTGAAAGAACTGGCTGCTGTTTTTACACGTGTGCAAAATAAGTCTTACTGTTTCACGTCATATTGTAGGTAAAAATAAAGTTACTCTGCCATTTTTCAGCTCATTGTTTGCTTTGTTTGAAGAAAATTATGAACAATTATGAACCAACAAAGAAAAGACTGATTGGAAGATTTCATCTTTTTCTAAATAGCACAGTAAAAGTATGAAAAAAGGAGATTCAGTTGGGTTAGTAAACGGTGATGAAAGCACCATTAAACCAAAAAGATGCGTTTAAATCAAAAGCATGAAAGTTTTAAGGATGATATGTGTAGGGAAGAGGTCAAAGTGATGGAGGAGAAGGCAAAATGTGGAGGTGGATTGACCGAGAGGCAGAGGGATAGAGATTTGATTTGAGGAGACAGCAGGCAGACGAGGGAAGGGAGGAGGCCAAAGCGAGGAAGATAAAAAAGTTAAGATGAAGAGGTGACAAACCGAGAAGAGCCTGAGCTTTGAATCCATGTGGATCCCCTCAGGAGGGTTAAGTGATGATTCACAGCCTTACAGGGAAATTGCAACAGGATTTACTTGAAGAGGCTGAAAGAAGAGATGACAAAGGAGCTGATAGAAAAACAGTCAGGCTCTTTTTTGGACACCTTGATACTGTCATCCTCAGATAAAATACAGTTCGACCGGCACAGGAATGTTAACCTTTTTTCAAAATCAGTTATCATCAGTTCCTTCTCCATTCTTTCTTAAATTTATATGACAGAGGCATTGTTAGGTTACCGGTTTGCTCTAACTAGTTGGTGACCAGATCCTGTGGTCTATACAAAAGATCTTGACAGAAAAATGTGCAGTTCCTCGTGTAAACTCTGGATGAACACACCTCCTGATGTGCAAAGCCGTCATTATGTGAACAGGGGAGACAGGAACTGAGGCCGGACTACAGCACGATTCCTCTAAGACATTTAATCACACTCCATATCAAACTTTAATCCCAGATCAACTTTTGAACAGGCTTTCAGAACAGCAGCGTTATTTCTGCTTGCACTGTTGAGCCATACCTATATATAAGGACCTTTACAATAAATCAAAAAGCCCAATCAGACTGACCGCTGTAAGCATTAAACTCCATGGACACACTCGTGCGTAATGATGTACACATGGAAGGCCTTGCGAACGGGATCATTCAAAGGGATCGCGTTTTCTGGGGATCGCCGTGTTTTCATGGCCCAAGATGATAACTAGCTAACATTTAGACTCTCTAGAGCCCAGGTGTCGGACTCCAGTCTTCATTGGGCCGCTGTCCTGCAGGTTCTAGAGGCGTCCTTAATTCAACAAACCTGATTCACATCAAAGTGCCGTTAGCAAAGCTAAACAATGTCCAGAGGAGATCTGATGTACCAGAATCAGGTGTGCAGAAGCTGGAAAATGTCTAAAATCTACAGGCAAAACGGCCCCCCCAGGCCTGGAGTCTGACACCCCTGCCCTAGAGAATCGCTTGCATCTATGTGCTGCGCTAGCTCCAGTCTCCTACCTCTCCAAGACCTCTCCAGGCTTGGAGAGGTAGCCCGTCTGGGGTAGGGTTGTCACGATACTAAAAGTTTAAACTCGATACCGATACTCAGGAAAATACTCGATGCTCGATACCATTTTCGATACCACAAGGATAAAAACAAAGACCCCAAAATGAAACTGAATTGTGTCTTTCATTTCAAACTGACCTGCTACTGATGTTATCGTGACTGGTGGCCCGTAATTATGACCCTGACCCTAACCCTAACCCTAACCCTGACCCTAACCCTAACCCTAACCCTAACCCTGACCCTCCACCCTTCATAATTGTGAGAAATAAGTATTTTTTGGTTAAACTTGTTTGGACTTATTGTACAAACCTATTTAACATCCACTATTTTAACATAATATTATGGATAGAGTTTAATTCAGTGTTTGCAAGATTCATTTCACTATTTTTAAATTAATGTCTATATTGCCATGAAGCAATTAGGATTTTCTTGCCTGGAATCTTCCTATTGGTGACCTAATCAAAATGGCCGACTTGGATGTGGGCGGAGTTGGATATGTACTTGATCAATGTCTGCATGTTATTATTATCCATTAGCCACAGCTAGCAATTCAAGGCTAACGTCATGTTAATGATCATAAACAACGTAAATAATTAAATGAATAAATAAATCAGAGAGAAAGTATCGATACTTTTGAAAATGAGTATCGTATCCGGATACAACATTTTAGTATCAATACTTTTTTGAGTATCGATACGTTTGACTACCCTACTCTGGGGTTCCCGGCTCTCACCAGAGTAGCCCACTGGAATGCAACAAAAATGAATTCACTTTCCGACTGAAGTCCCTTTTAGGAGCGACTTAATCCTGTTAAACGATTATCCTGGAATGCTGCTGCCAGCTCATTCATGCCCGACGTCCCGGAAGGCTTCGGTAAGACGACTGGACCATGGGTACAGGTCTCCCTGTTCTGCTGGGGAACGGGGCCGACTCTAAAACCCACTTTGCAGCAATGTCCGGGCCTCTAAACGGAATCGCTAATCAATTATGCATGACAACATGTTGGCAATCGTTCTCTTTTAATTTCCGCCAACAAGGTGTCTTTGGGCTCTGCGCCTCGCTCACCGACACACCAACGTTCCTGCCCTGTGAGATGGCGTTTTCTCGGCTCTTTTTCTCCGCGGTTGCCGTTGGTAACGGGGAATTAACATTGATCGGCAGGCTCATTTGGATGCACATTGGCATTCATGAGGTGCTTTGCATGGAACATTTATGACCGCGCGCGTGCGTGTGGAGGGCAGAACATGAGGTGCAGCTCTGATTTACAAAGGGGAAACTGCCCGCCTCTGTCCATGTGTATGGATTTTTAAATCTGGACTTTTCTTTTGGCATACGCCATTTTTGGCCTTTGAGAGTGTCTACACTTTTAGTATTGATCCAATGTTTTATAATAAGAAATCTATGAGATAATAGATTGTTTTGGAACTCTGCTTGATAGTTCATTAAACTAACCAGCATTGACTGACTAGATTCGGATTGGACCAGAGGACCTGTGGATGGATGTGGTGACAAAAAGTGTCTTTTGTACTTGATTGGAGCACGCTGCTCATGAAGAAGCACTGACGCCTCACAGCAAGAAGGTTCTGGGTTGGAGTCCCAGGGGAACCAGGACCTTTCTGCCAGAGGGTTCTGGGTTGGAGTCCCGGGGGAACCAGGACCAGAGGGTTCTGGGTTGGAGTCCCGGGGGAACCCGGACCACAGGGTTCTGGGTTGGAGGCCCGGGGCAACCAGGACCAGAGGGTTCTGGGTTGGAGTCCCCGGAGGAACAAGGACCAGAGGGTTCTGGGTTGGAGTCCCAGGGGAACCAGGACCTTTCTGGGTGGAGTCTGCATGTTCTCCTGTGTCTGTGGGTTCTCTCCAGGTTCTCCGGCTTCCTCCCACCGTCCAAAAACCTGCATGTTAGGTTGGTCGGACAATTGCCCTTAGGAGTGAGTGTGAGTGGTTGTTTGTCCTGCAATGGACTGGTGGACTGTCCAGGGTGTACCCTTCCTCTCGCCCATTGACCACAGCGATAGGCTCCAGTTATCCCTGCGACCCCATTAGGGAATAAGCTGTAATAATGATAAATGGATGGATTTCGTAGTAGGTGTTGTGGCCCATCCTGGTGCCAATATCCCCTTTCCAAACAATTCCCTTTTTATATCCAGGGCTGTTCAAAAACCCTGAGGCTTTCAGGGCTAAGGGTGCCCACAGTCTGTGACATGCCTCGGTTAAACCAGAGTACCAAGAAGGAACCGACATAGACATGGCGAGATCATGCAAACTCTACGCACGTTCCCAAGGATTTGAACTGGGAACTCGCTGGGAACTGACAGTGCCAACCAGCACACCACCATGCACAAGATAAGTTATTGTCTTTAAAACAAGCCCTCTTTATTGAGAACGCTCTTCAGTTCAAATTTTAAGAGGATCAGTTTCTACTTCTCGTAGATCGTAGGTATCCTTTGGCGTTAATCGGAGGATTCAATGGACAACCGTGCTTGTCAAAGCCCGCAGAGTTAAGCAATCCGTCAAAACTGGACATTAATGTGTTGACGATTTTCTGCCCTCAGATGATCCTGATTAGCGGCAGAGCCACAGGTCACTGGTCCCTCCCCCTGCTGCTTCAGATCCTAATTAGATGGGCTTTGAATTTATCCACTGAGACATGAACACCATCAAACCCTATCAAAACTCATTTCACACATGATTACACCCATGCCCCGAGAA